AATTGTCAAAATTACTGGAGCCACGATCAGAGAAAAGAACTGCATTATTTCCAGCTCAAGTTTACGGGATATGCCGAGTGTTACCAAGTTAGTATAAATGTTCCCCAATTGTTCAAAAAAAAATGTTTTTAAACGTTTAACAAAGATATGTTTTTTTTCTTCAGCCCAGTGATACTAATAACCTTAAATGTGCCATTATTCCATAACAAAATAATTAAACTCGTATTGTCTGGTGAATCGCTAGCGCATTTTCGAACATCATTAATCATGTTGTTGAAAGAAGCGTACGGAATGGTGCGAATGTTGATGGGGGTAAGTTGTCGGCGTTACTTTAGCATCTATTGTGTAAATATTCTAATCCAGGTCTAATCTATTCACAAACATTACCACGATATCCACCGTGTTTATTCGTAGACACTAATATATGATCTATGGTTTATTATAGGGCGGAAATATGTTCCCATCATATTGGATTTTGCAAAAGATTGAGTTGAAAATACTCGTACATTTTCCAAACAGCCCTGTGCTACCTGTTAACCTCTTCCATTTTCAAACAACGTTAGTTATTTTATTTTATTTAAGTGGTTATATTGCCTGTTGAGCAATTTCATTGGCAAGATTATTTTAAAGCTGCCTTTGAAGGAACCTTCGAGATAGGCAAGTGCTGTGTGTAATTATTAAGATAAGGTTCAGGGGTGGATAACAAGAGACGAACTGGTGTACACTATAACAGATGACTTTATTGAAACTCCTGCCGTGATGTGTCAAAGCACCCACTTATATACACACAAGTTTACATTCCTTGCATTTTGGCGGAAAGTGACATTGGCCTTGTACATGATTGGGTAATAGGGAGACGAGCTGATAGGTAAATAACTATTAATGGGGTTGTTTTATTGGCTAAAATTAACGTACTATGATTGGCTAAATTATTTGTAAGCAGAATCCTAAATCGACATCAAGCTCGGCTAGTTATATTTCCGATATTTCTCCGGGCCGCGAAATAAAAGATAGTCATGTAAACAAGAATGAACAAAAAGTTGAACAAAGTAAACGATAGTTTCGAAGTAAAATATGAAAGTAAATATATGCGAAAATAAAATACAATTTAGGATAGATATCGATTAAATGCGAGTAAATATAAAAGTTCGAAAATTCGTATAATCAACACAGTCACAAACTGTCACAATAAGCTAAGTATAAAATGTTCGGTATATTCAGTTCATAGTTCATACGTCATTTATGTCCTGTATGCGTAGACGGGCAATCGCAGCAGCAGCAGTTCGACGGGTAATTTCCGGTTCCAGTGGTCCGCGTTTGTTATCATCGTCAGTAACTTCTTCAATGAAATTCCGCGCTTTCTGGTTCTTAATGATTCCATCATATGTTTTTAACAAATGC